AAAAATAATAATACCTGACTTCATTATGCAAAGCTGTATCGGGGCGTGTTATTACAAATTGAAATCATTGACAAAACATCATAACCGTTGAATGATTTTTCTCGATTTCAAGATTTATGATATTTTGTCTTTAAAATTACTAAATATGATAAATTTTTATGTATACTTAATTGTATGATAATATGAAAATGTGTTTCAAGTTGATGCTTTATAATACAATTAAAATTCAAATTGCTTCACTATTTTGTTAACCGTTAAAGTTTTAGTGCATGTGCTCACCATTTTAAAAGTTCCAAAACACCTAATTGTATAATCTTAATCAATCCATTCAATTTGTACCAAGATCGATAAGTAAATTTCAATATTATTTTTGGTAACAAAACGAGTATTCAAAGTTCTTGTATATAATGAGACAAATTTGATTTTTTTCTTAATTCGTATAAAATATGAAATCAATAGCAATTTAGCAAAAAAATAAAAAAATAAATATTATCATTTATTCATAGTACATCGGTTTTTTTTTAATATATTTTAAATTTAATTAAAACTATTATTTAAATTGAATACAAATCCTATAATTCAGTATTTTTCATTTTAATTATGTAACAGAAATATCTCAGTTTTATAATATTTTTTTTTAAATACTATTATTTACGACAATTACTATGTTTAGTAACACTAAGGTTACACGGAGTTATTAATTTCTATTAAACATCGATCATTTGTAAACCTTAAGATAACAAAATTATAATTGTTACTGCAATATAGAATTATGGCTGAAATGAAACCTTGAAAATGACTTTTCATCTTACACATCATTCCTATGAGCACATTATTCATAATACACTAATATTTTTAAATATTTATGTTTTAATGTAAATATAATATTTAATTTATATGTTATCGTATAATATATACATAATTTCAAGCAATTCAACAAATATATTGTTTTTATTATGTAACATATTAACCTAAATAAATAATAGTTAAAAAATACATATTTACGTAAACATCTTACAATAATAATAGTATATAAGTATCATATCAAATTCCGGATTAGATTGTAATATAAATTATTAATATTAAATAAATAAATGTCTATCATGCACTTAGGTATCAAAATATATATTTGCATTTGCCTCCATTATACCAGTAGAAAAATAAATAAATTTTTATAAAAAGTTATTTTATTTTTTATTTTTATTCATCGACATAATAGAATTAAACATTTTTTTAAATTTTCAGTTAGAAAAAAAGATTATTTTAACTTAAGTTTAGGCTTGGCTTTCATTGATATAAAAATACTGTTATGTATTATTATTTTAATTTGAATAAATCAATCATTGCATTTGAAATATGCTGATAAGTGATGTTAGTATAGTTTCACCTTTTAAAAAATGTTAGTAGTAATATTCCAACAATATAATTATTTTTATGATTTTTCAAAATGTTTAAGTATTATTTAAAAATGTAATTTTAATGTACTTGAAACAATATCTGTTCTAATTTCAATCTGTATGAGAGTAGTATGTAATTTTGTTCAATATTATTTTTCAATCTCAAAAACTTTTTTTAGAGAAATAAAATCGATTTTATCAGCTTATTCTGGTTCAAACCATATTATTTCAGAACCGGAAGCACTTTTATTCTATAAAGGACTAAATAAATAAAATATAACAGATAAAAACTTGATTAATCAGCAGTTCCTTAAATTCAGCTACATCACTATTTATTTTTTAGGAAAATATCCATAAAATTAAAAAGATAAAAAAAATTAACATACTATCTGTTAATCAAACAGTTAATTAAAATGCCGTACTAGTGGTAAAGACCAGGGTCTTGTGTTGGTTCGTCAATTAAAATTGGGATATTGAGTAGTGGAATTCATAGATAACCTATACGGGTTATACGTTTGTACAAATAATGTTTATTGAGAAAGAAGTTCTCCAAAAAAATATTGAACAAACTGTTATAACATTATTTTAGATTTAAGCTAATTGTGTTGTAAACATGAACGCAACTGAATAGACGGAGACTGGAAGGACGGGGGCTTGGGAAGGCTTAGTGTATCCAAAATGAATTATATTATTGTTTTGAGGTTAAAGGCTCCCAACATTTGTTTTCTATTAACTAAAGGACATAATGAGTGAAGCCATTGAATACTCAAGCACCCTTTCCTTATTATTTCATCGGATCGGTACCCATGCACAACTATTATCAACTATTATTTGGTTCAGCTTTAATTTTTATTTATTTGGTTTTCTCGAATAACGTACCTAGTAATAGCGTACGGCGCAACGAGACCGTCGATGAATTTTGTCGTATCGCGCGATTTCGTACATTTCACCGCAGCACCGTATTGCCTTTAAAATTCGTAACTGTCTTCGTTGTACGGACGAACATTGCGATGGGCAATTGCACACGAACAGATCGCATGCAAATGAACCCATGTGTTTACAATACGGAAGCGCAAAACGTGCACGTTGTACAGCGCGATAAATAGACGTTATATGCGTGTGTCCCTTCCGATCCCGTCATCTATCATCAGTAATATCAACTTCACATATCAGCTCCCGATTTCTCGCAACAAAAAGCGATCCAAAACTCACAATAATGATCGTATACCGTTAAAGGTGTGCATCGCAGGTCGTTCGCTCCAGGGTTTTCGAATTTGATAGAAATATTTACGTTATATACAGTTGAAACGTTTTTAACTAGGATTTTGCGTTTATCGTTATTTGAAATTATAACGTTTTGTAAGTTTTCCTTATAAATTTAATTCGTATTGACATTGTATTTAAAAAACATTCTCATCACGGACTGGAATTTGTTCTAACCACGATGACAACGGTTAGAAAAATAAAAAAATGCACTTATACCCGGTAAAATAAAATGATTAGAACATTAAGTCCATTAAATGTCAATTACCAAACGAGGAACAATATTTAAATACAAACACAACGAAAAAACTTTAAAGTCTATTGCGCAATTTGGCGTCACTTGCTGTGTTACTATGGGGTGGGGATCAGGGTCTAAAGTATTATTAAGAAAATAAATTACCGACTATATTATAAATATTATATGTATGTATACATATATAACTTTGTTTATTGTTAAACGTTATGCGTTATTTAATCATAACCTGTATTTTCAGATTTATGTTGTTTAGTTTTGTAGTATTTTATTTTTTCCGTTTTATTACGTTTAAAAATTGCAAATCGTTGTTTGTCGTATATTACGTAATGGCTGTAACGTTATTATAATCAATTAATTATTATTATTTGCACCCATTTGTTCGTTTACCATCACGTCGCCGCGCGGAACACGCCACACCGCGAGCATATTGCATTATACTGCTGTATGCGTTTGTTGTTGTACGAACACATTGTTACGGTGCGTGGTGTTCAGGAGTATACCAAAATATATGTATACGACCCGGGCGAACAATGCGAATTATGCAAAAATTATGAATGAACAGGAAACCGTTTGAAACCAGCAAAACATCTAATCGTCCGATTATGTCCGCGGACGTATATTCATTGTGCGCTCCGTAACCGCGAGGGTCCACGGATCAATGAACGTCATGTAGGCACTGGCTCTATTGATTGTAAGTGGTCACGGACATGGTGTAACATCATCACATGATATACGAACGCACAGCGGACCCGGCAGTAGACACATCGCAAGCTTGAAGTACAGGAAATGCGATTAAATTCAATTTAAATATAATACCCTCGTACCTACGGTGCAACGTAGCGACCGTCGTATACGGGCTTTTAAATGAATACGATTACGGTTAGATGAGGTACATAACGGTTAATATACGTACTCACCTAAATTGTCAACGAAAATTTCCGATATTTCAAACTGATTTTCGGTAGATAAAAAACCCTTCGATATTTTTCGTGTGACAAATGATCGGTTGGTGTGTTAAATAATCTTAAAATGTGATTGAAAATTGATTAACGAACATTTCAAAATCCGTTTTATTAAAATATGAAATTAAAAATGTTAAATATCCTTGTAGAAATAGTTATTTAGGAAATTGATGCGGTCATAGGTTTTGATTCGTAACGATTGATTGCATTTCCGATTTATTTGACGTTTAACTACAATCGTGTATTTCTTATGGTAAAATGAATACAAATGGCTATATTATGATGAAATTACAGCTATTTGAAAATCAAACCAAACAAAAACAAATAAATAGAAATAACTAAATCGGTCATACATAATTAATCGTTTAACTCGATGAGTCAGTTTTATTAAATGAGATATGTGTGAAATCCAAAAATATGTATTACATGCGGTTATTGTAAGATAAATATTTTCTTAGCAAATGTATGACCAAGTATAAATAATTATCATTAATTAAATAAAACATACACAGTACGAATAATAGAATGAAAGGTAAACCTCGAGAAACTATTATACCTATTCCAAATATATTTTAAGGCGCTCACTATATTATGTTTTCGATAAAACTCATATAATTGTACTTGAAAATGTTTCGAATATTATTTCATTTTTCCAAAAATATAAAACTTTTTAAAACTATAAGACAGTATGGTACTCAGACGTCGCTGTAACTCATTTTATAGAAAACATGCACCTAAACTCAAACAAACATCTTTAGTTAAATTTCCATTTTTTAAATATAAAATAAATATTCAGTTACTTAATAATTTACATTAAGTCAGTATATATTATTATTATTTTTATTAAGTCTCAATATATGGTTTTCGTATGAGTAGATAAGACTGAAGTCATAATTTGTATTACTTTGTAAACTAGTATAGAAATATTATATATATAAAGACATGTGATATCTTAACCTTAAAACTATTTATTATGACTTAATAATAAGAAAACATGTATATAAAAAGAAAACCTGCCATATAAAATCCTATAATAACATTAATAACAAACTATCGTATTATTAAAACGCATTATTTGGTCACGTTTAAACGATTTACCTTTTACAAATTAGGTTTTGTTTTCCCTATCACCATTGTGAGCTATTTTTTGTTAACTTCAAAACTCATGACCGTTGCGTATATAAAAGATATAATTCTGTTAACAATTGTTGTGCATCATATTTTCGTGTTTATGAAGTATTTATAGTGTTTAAACGCGAATTTACTAACGGTTTCCAAAATCATTGAGTTTATATTATGATGTATTACAAAGTTATAATTTTTTGGTTCGTATTAATTGTGAGTTTAATGTTTTCCGTTATGAAACAGGTAAAAAAATAAAATTTATTAACTCGTTCATTTTATAAAACAAAATTATTTTAATAAAGTTAATTAAGGGCAGAATTTTTTTATGGTAATACGAGATATATTTAAGGAGCTTTATATTATATATTCAAGACTTTTTGTAAACCAAAAATATTAAACCATCAATTTTGAAAAAAGAACTAAGAAAACATGATAATTTCAATGTTGTATAACTAACTTAAAAAATATAAATCGAAAAATTATACATTTTATAAAAAACGATATAAGCATATAGTAAAAATATTATGTCTTTATAATTATTCTTTGAGTTATGATAAAAAGGAAAAATTTAATTTTATTGTACATCTGATATACCGTAAATTTTTATAAATTTTCGTCAGTTTGTCGCAATTATTCAGAAAATATTTGGGAAATTCGTAATATGACATTCAAAGTACTAACAAGATAACATTGTTCATTTTTTAATTTTTATTTGGTGAAAAATCAAAGCACTCCTGTCGGTCAAAATAGCGTACATATTCAAAAATATATAACTATCTAATGATAAAACCAATATATTGTCCATTTTACTCAAAATCTAAAATGATAAACGTGAAAGGCATTTTTTAAATTAATATTATTAGTAAAATTAATCTATTAATTATTTAAAAAAATAAAATTTTTCTACGAATTTCAATTTAGAACATTATCTATGAAAAAATAATTTATACCGATAAAATTGAATTTTTGTTTATTAAAACACAAAGCACTTACCTACCGTCTTATTAATATTAAAGTATAAGCTAATATGATATTCATAAATATTTTTATAGCAATAAAGTAAATTTGATATAAACATTATTTCTATAATATTAACTCCAACACGGAACACAATTTGTTTATTTCCTTTAATGCATAGAAGTAGAATAATTTATAAAAAAAATTTGTATTTTTTCACATTTAAAAAGTCAATCAAGCATAAAAAATACAAATATTTTATTATGGTAAGGTGTACATATATTAATCCTCGAACATCATAAATTTTTCTGAGTACCTGCTACTTAAACTCACATACTTTTTAACCTCATTCAGATAAGTATTTCAAATTACAAGTTCTTGATTTAATTCTAAACGAATTATATAAATATTTAAATTTTGCAAATCATCATAGTTTAATATTTAATTCAGACAGATATCATGCATTCATCCATGCAGTGTTAATTGTATTTAATTAACTTCTTTTATTTACATATAGCATTTTACAAATTTGCATTATGTGTATTATAATGATGATTTTTTTTATTTTTTAAGGTAAAATGCGATACACCGAGAGTAAATCATAGTTCATCATCAAATATAAAAAACCTAACGATAAATCTGAGTTTTCTGATATTTTTGGGTAATCAAAGTAAAACCCACTATCTAGAATATAAAAAAGAAAATGATGAAAATAAATTTGCAACGACAAGTATTGAAACAACAGAAATTCAGAAGACCGAAAATTGTTCCCAAAATACTTCCCGAATATTTAATAGTAGTACTCCTAAATATGTGTCAACTATAAGAACAGAATCTCTAAAAAACGGAACCGAAAACTGTACTGAATTTACCACCCAGTCTATAGGTGCATTAAACAGTACTACAGATGGTAAACCAATTAAAGATCATCTTACCACAATAATACCTGATGATAAAATTAATTGCACAGACTCTCCAATGTTGGGAGAAGTTCATGAAGTAATTCTGTCTCCAGAGACGAAAGATGAAAACAACTCAAGCGATGTAAAATCAACAACATTAAACTACAGTGTAAGTAATATTACCTTGAATCCACCAAATAACCCTTACAAACCGTGTGAAAGCCGTAACGAGTTGATATTATTGGTAGAAAATGATATTAATCTAAAAGTGTTTTTAAATTCCAAAGGTATAATAGAAAAAACATTATTATTAAACAACAAAACCGATATATCGATAACTAATGGGACAATGGATGACATATTCGACGAATATGAAATAATAAATAACGATTCTGCCATGAACTAAGAGAAGGTACCAAGACCAAATTTTTTTCCAAACTTGATGATCTATAGGTACTGCATACATACGTACAACTTAACGAAAAATTGTGGAGAAAACTTACGAGCATCATAAAAACCACAAAGAAGCATTATCATATACTGTTATTACATTATGTTAAACTTTATATAAAATATTATTTTAATCTGAAAAATGGCAAAAATACATTGTGTGACTGTAGTGTAGTTAATATATATAGTTCATGTTTAGTATATTAAGTTAGAAATTAACTTTAAGATTTACTACTAAATCGCTATCTAAAACGTATTATTCAATGGATTTTAATATATAAATATACATAAGAGGGATAGATGTAAAAATATTTAATATAAACTTACATTACAGTATTATAATTTTTTTTAATTCTATTCCTGGTAATTTCACAATAATTCAATCGATTTATTAATTTAAGCAATACATATACTTAGATACATATTATATATTTTTGAGACAACATTACGGAAGCACTACCCTCCACACTGTCGATTCAAAAGAAAAAGAAAAGATACATATTATATGATGTCATGTCATTATATAGGCATGCGCATGTAAGGTGCCGGGTGAGCCCGGGCACCCTTTGAAATGGTGTAAACCAGTGGTTCTCAATTTTTTTTCGCGTACCACTTGAGTATATTATCAATCAGTCACGTATCATTAATGATTAAAAATAGAACCAAACAAACTTCACATAGTTAAATACATTTATTTTAAATAAAAAGTCAGTAAAATACTAAAATTAGATTATTATTTATTTATTAATACAAATTTATTAGTATTTTTAAATTAATATGTGAGTTAAATATTGAATTTTTAATTTCTTTTCTACCACTATCCGGCCTTTCGCGTACCTCCATGTAGTCTTTCGCGTACCATTAGTGGTACTACAGTTTCAGAACCACTGGTGTAAATGGATTCCTACAATTTAATTCTAATAGTAAAGGGCCCTGATGTTGCATAAATTAAATGTAATTTGTTTTCTAAAATATTTGTTAAAAATAAATTATGTTTTGTAATAATAATAATAAAACTAAATTTTCTAAATTTTCGTACAAAAATTTCTTGTGATTATATCACAGTTATAATTAACTATAAAAGTACAAATCATAAATAATTGAAGCTTTCTAAGAAAAATATACGAAATTCAAGGAAGACATATTCATTGGGACTAATATGGGACGAATATACCACAATATTAAATAAAACATTAAAGTTATGTTTATTTTATTATTTAAACCTACAAGTTTTGTTAAGATAAGGCTCAAAATTATTTGAAAACATTCCTTGAAATACAGGTTTGCGCACGCCTATGCAGGTACATAACGTTATATTCATTAATTACAGTATATCAAAGCTGTATTATGTTCTAATACCAATGCACTTTTTATACAACTCTCATATATTTTAGGTATACTATACCTCAGTAGAAAATGAACCTCAAATATTTTGTAATGTTAAAATATTTTTAACAGGTTAAGCACTAATAAAAACAATTTTAAGCTTATTGACTCTTGTAACTTAAAAGAGTGCCACGTAGGGTTATCAAGCTCAGTAATATATAAAGATAACGTGTAATAATCAATAATAATACAGTAATAATCAAACCGAAATCATAATCAATTCTGAGCAATAAAAAATGTATAACAAACGATTTTACCAGAATAAATCAAACGATTGGTGATGATTTTATAAAGAATATCAACGAGATTACAAAACTTACAGTGGTAGTTAGGAACCAATTTAAATTATATAAAAATAATGGTCACTAATCAAAGTAATGTTTAAAAATTCAGTACGAACTGGAATGAAACCCAAAAATAAAAATATCGATAAAACTACATCAGAAATTATAAATACGTTATAACAACTCCTATGTGACTCTTAATTTAATTTTAAAATCAGAATCTGAAAACAATGTAAAACTTATTACTAGGGCTAGGATTTATATGCAATAAAAAATGATTAAATACGCTTATTGAAAATATGCAAAAATATGCAATAAAAATATGCTTAAATAAACCAAATAAATATTATTTAAAAAACACGTTTTCTATAAATTTTTTGTAAATACCAATTAATAAAAATAAATATATTAAACATTTAAATATAAAAACATTTAAAAAATTCTGAAACCTTAAAATCTCTAAAATATTGATGTAAAATTGATAAAGCTACTCGAGTGAATTACATTTAAAACCACATTTTCTATACATTTTTTTTAAATACCAATTAATAAAAATAAATATGTTAAACACTTAATTATAAAAACATTTAAAAAATTCTAAAACCTTAAAATCTCTAAAATATTGATGTAAAATTGGTAAAGCTACTCGAGTGAATTACATTTAAAACCACATTTTCTATACATTTTTTAAAATACCGATTAATAAAAATAAATATGTTAAACACTTAATTATAAAAACATTTAAAAAATTCTAAAATCTTAAGTTCTCTAAAATATTAATTGATATAAAATTAATAAAGCTACTCGAATGAATTACATGAAACAATTACATGATGTTTTAAATTTTCAAAAATGAACGATCTTCTGTTTGACCTTAGTACTTTTTTATATTTGCTAAAATTCCGTTCGACATCACACGACGTTATTTTTGCATATCTAAATTTTGTAACTTCCCCAAGAGATAGATTTGGAAAATCTTCATCTACATTGTTGCCATTTAAAATATTACGTATCGTAGACAAAGCTTTTAGCCCGATATTTTTTTCTAACACTTTTTTATATTTTTTGTCGATTTTTTCAGCGATCGGTCCTTTGTTTTGGCCAAGTTTAGATTTGGTGTTTTCAACGATTTCCAAATTCTCATCGAGTAAAAGTGATGCATTTTCTAATTTCAAAATAGATTGAGTGATAAAGCCAAAGTTACTTTTTATATAAGCTAAATCATTTTGTATAGTTCTATTTTCAAATAAAGCTATAGCATTCTTTATGGATTTTGCAGTATTTTCGTCTAAAGACAAAAGCACCGATTTTATGGAATTAAAATTATTAGCATAATATGATGTGGCTTCTAGCCAAGTTCCCCATCGGGTATGTATTGGCTGTGGAGGTAAAGGTAATTCTGGAAATAATTCTCGAAATTTTAAGATAAAATTACATTTGGGTATTTTTGTACTGCCATAAAATGAATTGTAATGAAATATACTATAAAACATACAATTTTTGTGTTTTTACAGTCGAAATGTATAAAAATATTCATTTTGTTCAAAATATGCAAAAATATGTATTTTGTCCAAAATATGCAAAAATATGACAAATAAAAATACCACCATTTACCCCATTTAGAGCTAATTCGCGGACATTACTTACAAAATAAGTAATCAGAAGTTGCAAAAAAAATATACAAATGCATATAAATCCTAGCCCTACTTATTACGGTGCATTACAATGAAGTTTAAATGGCGTATAATACAAACGTAAAATACTTACTCTCTCTAAATTGGACTGAAACAATAATAAATCCCAATAAAAATTCTATAAACATACATTTCTGTTTCTGAAATGATAAAAAAATTATTCAAGTTTCTTAAGGTTGAAAAATTAACAATAGGCACTCAAGTGCAATGCAGATTTAACATATAATAATTTTTTAAGATAACAGCTTAAAGATATTTACTTAATTAATTTTTTACTCTAACGATGAATGTATATTATTTTTATCCATTTAGAACTCGTTTGATGCCTAAATCCTTGAAACCTACTAAGTTAATTCATAGTTTCCATTATTCCTTTTCCGATTATTATCCTACTTTAAGTAAAAGAATAAATGGATTTCAATGTACATATATTATACAGTATTACATTTAGTAGTGAAAACTAATATAATATTGTAACTTGTAAATAAATTTGAATTATTTTGTAATAAAATCTGTTTACAATATATAAAAAATGTGTTTACTTGTGTACAACCATAAGTAAACTGTATACCACATCGTTTTAATTAGTGTTTGCTTATGTAACAAAATTAAAGTATCCAAAACAAGGAAATTTCAACAAAGGTTAATGACATACTTGCGCTTTCGATAACAGAACGCGGTCGTATCTATGAGTATTTTATAAACAAATTTTTATTTTCGAAGTTTAAAAGATGTTAATGTCAGGTGGGCCATGGACTTATTATGCTTATGAATAGTTGACGCTTGAGTACCCTATTGGATCATAGTTGTGACATGTGAATAACTATGAGAATATTCATAGTTTTTCCACTCTACGCCCTGATGATTTCACGTTTGCCTGTGAGTACATTTAAGGATAATACATCGTTTTTATAACATTTATTAAGTTTCGACCAATTCTATCTAATTAACCGTCTGTATAATGTATTGAGTTTTGATGCGTTCGTAACAGTATTATGCCCTACAGATTTTTATTTAACAACCAAGTAAAACATAATTTTTCGAATTAACCTCGGTGTAACTAAATATTTAAACATGCTAACTTATAACATACGAGATGGGCTAAGGGATATCAAATAACAATCATTTTTCACGTTTGGAATAGTGGTAAGTGGCTACAATATACGAATAACTAGGCAAAATGGTTTACCGGTTTCTATCGAGTAATATGATACGAAAAATTGTTCACATACCGACACATTTTTATTGTTTGTTCGTTTAAAATACAATAGTTGTAATAAAAAAATAAAAAACAAAGATCTAGTTACTGTACAATACATAAACTGCCGTATTGTTTAAATTTTAACACGTATTTGCATACTGTGGAGCGTGCAATATGTTTGAAACCCCGGTCTACATCTACAATAGGGAAATGCGATGAATCGGTTTTGAACGTGTATATTTTTAACTCCGTTTCATATGAAAAATTGACGCATTCACATCCAATAATGTACAAAGTTTAATAAAATATTTAAGAGTGACAATCGTAGGTACAAAAATAGGTACATTTTAACCAGAACCATTGCATTTCATTAATTTCATTGGTTTACAAGTTATAGTTTCAATCGTACCATAAGTCATTACATAGCGATCACTTACGAGTATACCAGTAGCCGAGTCGTGATAATTCGATTGTGTCTCGAATAGAATATTGGGTCAACTAAAATACTTAAAAACATTTATTGTACAACGATATCGATGATTTAAAATGTTAGAACGTTTTTTTTTTTTTTTACGTTCCTCCTTGATTTGTACTCTTGTAATCGTTCTGTATCTGCTCTGTTTGTACCAGAATACAACAGTGTTCCGAGCACACATATACTATTATGTCGCATGAGGTGTGTACTAATATTTTTCACGGTATACTTCCTCTCGTGCATTCGACATGACAATAATATTCACGATTCGCTTTCACCCCATCCCGGAGGAAATGCTACAAAGTATAAATTTTTATTTGCTTTTTCCTTTTTTCAACCAATATACTTTCTTAGTTACGCTACCGTTCTCGCGGAATTTCGTTATTTTTTTCACTCGAGAGCAAATAATTATTCAACTTCAGGTATTGATATACTTTTCTTCCTCTCCGAACGCTTTATATTGTGATTTATTTTCCATATTGATTCGGAACTGTGTTGTTCGTTTAACTTTTATCCGTAACTATTCACATAAACGTTCAGTGCGAATAAAAAGCCATACAGTATAAATATGTATATATGTAGTTTGATACACGACAAAAAATAAAAATAAAATTATTTTATGGTTAACACAAACTCTAAAATTAATAACGATCTTATAAACGAATGTATTTTTGATACCCGATGATGATTTTTTGTAATCGAAACTGATTGTAAATATTTGTACTTAATATTACACAATAATGTTCCCAATATGAGCTTTTACTTGTAATCATATTTCATATTTTTCTATATTTTAAATACATAATGCCTGAAACCGGTGTGCGTGTGTGTGTGTGTGTGTGTTTTCTATTCTCGGACACAGCACCGGTGCAACGGTTGCTTGGACATGCTGATGAAGCCGTTTCTGCAAGTGTTCAACCCAAACGTGGAAATCCACCCCGACCGGTTGATCAACCGACACCGGTACGCCGACGGATTCATGCCCGACTATCGTCCGCGTAAGGACCCCGCCGGAAGTGATGATCCGACCCCGACAAAATCTTTCAAGAACGACGACAACGAAGTTCCGACGGCCGACTACGTGGACTATGGGGTCGCGGGTACTGACGGCCGTCGTACTGGAAATAAACTTACCACCCGGCTGGGTGGTCCGCAAGACAGTGGCGGGCCGGTGGTGGTGAGTTCGGATAGTTTAGCGGATCAACCGCTGACGGACTTCATCGTCAGCTTACTCCAAACCGTTCAGCTGTCATCCCGTGCGGCCCTCAAGAAGTCTAAGCACAAACAGACCACCGGGGCCCCAGTGGTCAGCGCGTCTCCACCGCCCCTGCGGTACGATCGGACCGGACGACCAATAGTCGGGCACGATTTTACTACCTACTGATAGTATATAATGTTATGAATTGCCAAGTGTCATCAACTTTGGTTTTCTGGGCACTCACATATTGAGAATCGAGAAAATCCTTGCGGACCATCAACATTATAAGCACATACTAATTAATATTTTATATCGTTGTTATTATAATTATGTCGATGTTATTATTGTTAAGAAATTAATAGAAAATGCTTTATAATAAATAAAGGGATAAATGAAAATATAATTTAATAGACATGTGAAACGATAAAAAGAAAAATCAATTATTGAACGCTTTTATAACGATAAGAGTTATCGGTTTTTCCTTTTTTAGTTGCGTGGCAGTTATAATTCATCCTCCATCCGATTACTCTTCATATGTATTTTATTATTATTCATAATCAGTAATCACACATGTGTATATGCTTCACAGGAAATTCGAGCACAAATTTTGCAGCTATTGGCAAATGATTTTCAAACGTATATTCCAAATACAACTTTCCTAATAGAAATATATCGTTAAAAGTAAATAATATATTTATGCGTCGTGACCATACGCTCATCATTATAGCCGGCAGTGTAATATGCACGATTGCGTTACGGTTGAGCGTCAAAACATTTTTTTTAAATACACAACTAATATTTATGAAATCCAATCGATTAGAGCGAATTGATTATTGTTTACACGTAGTCTAGTTTAGCAGACTATCGACCGTCACAATAGGGTTGTACGTTGAATGTTTGTATGCGTTAAAAGCATAAGCCGGAGAGGAGAATGTGTAGAGAAAAAAAGCTTTCATTCCGATTTAAATATTAGCATAACATCTTTCATGAAATGTACTCAAATGATTTTGAGAAATGTATTCGATCTATGATATCATCCTGCTTTGCGGCCGATGGCGTCTGAGTCAACGACTGTATTATACATGTGACATTTGCCGGAGATCGTTCCCATAGAGTAGACCTGTTTTTAGTCAAAACTGTAGAGTCCTATGTTATAACTCATTACTAATATACTATAAATTATATAGTTAAACTACAGAATAGATTGAATATTAAACATATTAAATATATTTAATCAATTGTGTGGATTAACTACGAATCGAACTAATTATAATAATTGTAATGTTATTATTAATACTGGGTAAATTATAAATTAATTATATTCAAATGATTTATAGGTTATTAAATATTTAAACAAATATTCATCATCATCATCAATCATCAATCACGTTGTTGAAAAGTAAAATAAAATAACCGTTTAATATTAAACATCGCGTCGTTCTAAATACACACTACTATGAACTACTTATAAATGGGTAAAATTAATACAAGGTATAATCATCGAAACTAATTACTGTCATTTGTTGTATTAAGTCAGAACATTCCAAGAAGAAAAAATTCAATTCAAGTAATTTACCGCATACTCCTTTACCGAACATTTACGATCATCCCTAGGATAGAAGTTCTGAAACAAACATTGGTATGAAAGTTATGTTAGAGTTTTAGGCTAGCCGATTTTTTAAAAAACTGCAAACTGTATCAAAAAAAAAGATCATTGAAACGTCAATAATACGTTGTATTTCGTGTTTTCATATAAATGTAGAACGAACACGTTCCTTGTCCATACATGCACTTTTTATTTTTCTAGATTTGATGATAAGGATTTGTTTGGACACTGCTAGCTTTGTTTGTATTTTGTTTGTGTGAAGGTCACGACGAAGTGAACTGTTGTAACCCAACGAATTTCGTGAATTCGCACGAATCTGTCACCAGTTATTATTTTATTTCATGTTTCAATTTAGAAACAGATAACAATCAATATCCCGCGTGATGTGTTCTTTCGAATTCACGCTGACGTATATTTATTTTTCCCGTTATATCATAATTATTACAATATTATGTTAAACGGTGATTTTTTGAAGTAATCTAAACTATATAAAAGTAGGTATATTATTATTAAACACACTCATCATAATACGACTGTTTAAAAATAAAATTTAAAGTCATAAATACGTCATCGTATTACTGACTCAGTATTACCGAGACTTTCGTATTACTACATCAACGAGTTTTTTTTAAACACGAATCGTACAAAGGAGTGAATCATATTCAATTATGAATACTTGCAGATTTGCGAGAAATTATTTTTAAATCAGATACTGGACCATGCGAAGGTACTAATTAAACGTATTGACTTTCCTGAACTAAATAGATTGCGATTACGATTATTTTTTTGCCGAAAAGTGGACTTTGGATCATGGCTGAAGCCATGATCAGTTGTTTGATATCACTACGAGTATAATTTATGCTTGGTTAAGAATCAATTCTAAAATTCCATATTATCGGTTTAACACTTATAGTACTGATAGAAAATGCGTAATTCCAATTTTTTATCCAAAAGTGAGTTTAAAACCAAAAAAAATTCACATGATTGTCTCCGTGTACCTTTCGATTTGCTGTAAGTTAATACTTACATATTTAAATCATAGTTCTTTATGTTTTCTAGACTAGCATAAAATTATTATACTCGTATAGTCTCACTATTACATATTAAATTTGAATTTAAATTTATCTTTGTGATTAAGCCTTTGAAATTAAGCCTTTACGGCGTAAAAATGTTTTTTACATATACAGTGCTTGGAAGGAACAATTTCAATGTAACTCGTTCTTCTGATTTTGATACATTTTCAAGAACTTATTGTTTTTTTTTTACTATTTATTAGAATCTCATTCATTATGAGAAACGGTTTACTTCGCTTTTTTCTTCGTTGTTTTTTTTATTCTTAAATATAGACCATTTAATAGTTTTTAGGAATAATTCTAATTGATTATTAATAAAAAATTTTTTTTTACCTTTTCTTTAGAACTTTAGCTGTTTAATTGATTCAGTATGCTGTGTTGACCGGCAATCAAACTATAGGTGTCTCACTTATTATTACTTTTTAAATAAAATTGTTAGTATATAAAAAAAACTATACAATATCATTGTTTATTTATTTTTTATTTTTATTTTTTTTTTTTAACTACCAATATTAAAATGATTATAGTTGACATTATTTATGAAATGTCAAGTCAGCTGCGATGACTTTTTCGGTGTGACATCGTTAGGAGCTGGAAAATTCATTCAACTATAAAGTATATTAATTAAATTTTAAAATTATTGAGGAATGGGCAATGTTCTTTATTTTAGAACGAGAAAAGTTACTTTCTTCAATCTAGGAATAGAAAATGATTTAGATTTGATTGAATTTATTTTTTTTAACTTTTCAAACTCTGTGCACATGTATCTTATGCAAGTTGCATGAAGTTAGATTAAATCAAACCTCATACCGTGTTAGGAATATGTTTTATAGGAGAATCTGTCGATAATTTGATAATTCGAGTATAGATATACTGAACGATTAATGAAACTAATCAACTGTTAGGTATCAAAAATAATACAATGCATGATATTTTAATAAAAATATGTAATTTTAAAAATTATCAACGTGATACTAATGTGAACATCATCGAGAATACAATTGATTTTTGAATAAACATTTTTTTTTTTATATTGTTTTTGCAGTCTCATTTTATCATATCAGTCAGACGTTTTAGAAAAATCAAGGCCTCGAGAACAGTAATCCTGACTCCTGAGCACCAGTGAATATTATGCAATCGTACTAATTTAAGTGAAATATTTAAAACTTCTTACTATAATCAATTAATTTTTTATTATTAATTACTTAGCAATTACTATTATTGTGCCAGTAAGGTACAGATTGTGTATGCATCAATAAAAAAAATAAAAAAAAATATTTTTTTTTTTTTTTATTATTGTGTTGAAGCAATTCAAACTTTTCGTAAACTTAGCCTTGATATACATATTTTATTTTATAATGAATATTATGTATAATGTACCACACGGAACTGTATAATTAATCGATAGTTTCAGACTTTGTCTTCTAAACATAATTGCATTTAATAATAAGTAATCCGATGTTTAAAAAAAACAATTTGTGCAATTTGAAACAAGCACTAGATTATTTATGTTAACTACGTTCTCGAAATGAACTTTGCTTGTTTGAAAAATAATCAATAAAATAACAAATAGCTTTGAAATGTTTACTTAAAAATAAAAAAGACTATTAGAATTTATTAACATTGAACAATAGGCCGTATCACACACAAGTGGTATATTATAATGATTTCAGTCGTAACATTTATTTACATAATACACAATTATGGTTTCTTGCGATGTTTATTGAGAAATCTTGCATTCCTATTAAAACATTTAATTTATTTTCCTGGTAAAACGAAAAAAACCTTATAAATTGATCCTATTCAGGAGGTTATTCGACATGTGTTCATGTGATATGTATATTAAAGGTCTTCCGTTATTTTTAGATGTATTTCTTAACTAGCTAATTAATACAAACTGCTTATGTACGGACTTTTGTGAAAATATTCACACATATGTATATCATTTTGTGTACTCGCTCAAAGCACACCCATTATACGTAAACAATTAATAAGGCAATAAAGCTTTGAGTTTTTTTCGTTTTGCATACATCTATATTAAATCATCGTAACCTAAGATTTTTAATGAATAGCGATATTTTTATACAATATCGATATGCTTCGATTACCTCGGGTTAACTTACTCGCTGCTTGTCAGCGAATTCACATGCGAGTGAGTGTGTACCGACCTGTCCGATTACACTCCGGTTAGTTGAACACTCAGCAAATAAGCGAGTAAGTCTTTTACATTAAGTGGATATAGTAGTAGGTAACGAGTAAATTCGTCAGCGACTAGGGAGTAAATTTGCGTAATGTAATCGAGGCTTTAGTCAATACATTTTATTTTTTGTATATTTTTTCATGTAGTTTTTATATCATTATAGAAATAAGATCAACATTTTGCTAATACAAATTTAAATGTTTTGCAAATAGACATAACTATAAATTGTCGGCAAACCACATCAAGGGATATCTAATTAATTAATAATTGTTCTTTTGAAAATGTATTATGTATTATAATATTTACCTACTAAAATATTTATTTAATAATTTTAACCGACACTATTATTTTTCTAACTTTTTACCGTGTTAATTCATTTCTTCTACCAAAATGAAACAAATTCTA